ATGAAGAGGTATTAGAAAGAGTAAGAGAACAGAGGACTATATGGAAGTCAATTAGAAATAGGCGTGATAGGTTAATAGGACACCTTCTCAGGCATGAAGGTCTAGTCAGGGACATATTAGAGGCAGAAACGGATGTAATTACTGTTCTCAAATAGTTAAGGATGTGGGTTGCTCTAGCTTTAGGCAAATGCGAAGGTTAGCTCAGAATAGTAAAGAGTGGAATGTCCAACCAGTCTTAGGACTGACGACCTTATGATGATGATGATGATGATGATGTAGGTATAAACTAAAAAGCTCGCCTGTAATCGATAGAAACCAAAACAGGAACCGTGGTGACCTTATCAACGACTGCAGAGTATTCGTTTTAAGTTCAATCAAAAGGTCTTTCATATTTGAATCAACTGATTCCAATTTTTGTTTTAGAGGGGACGAGTTCTTAACATCGATTCAAGTTCTCATACTCCAACACTATTAACATTGAATCGTGTAGTCTAATTTGCGAATAGATTTTGACTCAGTGAGGTTTAATAGATGCTCATTTATAGTTTTACCGTCATCTGAGAGTGCTTGTAATTCATTTTGTTAGAAAAATCTATTGAAGAACTGAAATTTGTTTTTTATCCTCAGAAAAGATTTTGTCTGTCACTGTAAACGTGATTGTGGTTCTTCACTGTGAGGACCTCCTGATTACGTTAGATTTATCAAATATATCAACCAAATAAGCCAATTTTAATAACCATTTCTCGTCGCGCAATAGTTCTAAATGACTAATGAATGTAACAATTGATTTAATACGTCTATAGGCATATAATAATGATAATAAATAAACAAACAAAATAACCAAGGAAGCAGGAACTAATAAGTGACTAATTGTATCCAATAATCCAAGACCAAATGTCCTATCATCTCATCTAGCATCTAGGTACCATCAGCGGCCGATATCTCAACTATAGAATTATTTGTTAGGGTTTAACCTCTCATCACTGGTTTGGTCATGAAAAATATGTTGTTGTTATGATTAAACACAGAACGGTTGTTTTTTTTTGCAGAATTTTGTAACTTCTTCACCCCTGTGATCCTTCCACGATACACTAAGGTTTTGGGGAACACTTTTTGGGAACCGCTGCACTACAACGTAAATTACAGTTACCTAAGAAAGTAAAAGTATCTGAAGATAATTGCCGGTTGTTTATGCTGTCGTCAATTCTCAATTATCCCCTCAATAAAATAATGCATTCTTTACTGATTGTTATGAAAAACGCTATGCTAATAGATTATCGTTTAATTCACAATACCATATTAATGTCAAAGCAAAACAATTGTCTTGCTGTCATGCGCCGTTACTCAGGACAATTAGGTAACTAATGTGATAAAATTTGCAAAGCTTTCACTCAAACTTTTCTTAACTTCAGTGAGAAGTTTAATTGAGCGTTTATTACTTAATTTTATTAATAATAGACATTAGCGGTAATTGACATTAATAACAAAGACACATTTAATTTAAGGTCGAGAGAATGTCTCTCAATAGTTGTTGGTCATGTGTATCAGCAAAACTAGAGTAAAAAATGAAACACGTATTTACTTATTATTAAAAATTAAACAGTTCAAGAGATAAAACAATTTAATTAATTTAATACCGGGGTACTAAAAAGTTGTGCAAGTATTTCTATCTTATCTAATTACTTTCTTTAACAAATGTATTCCTTAGAAACTGGTATAGGGTCACGCTAAATTTTCTAAAGTAATTTTATAATTATAAAGTACAGAACATCATCATCATAACGTCGTCAGTCCTAAGACTGGTTGGACACGTACCTCCACTCCTTCCTATCCTCAGCTAAACTTCGCATTTCCCTAAAACTAGAATTTCCCACATTCTTAATTATTTGCGAAGAGTAATCTAATCTAGGTCTACTACTACTACTACTACTCATAACTCCTGTGTCTGCCTTTAATGTGTCTCTGACAAGATCTTCATGCTTGAGAAGGTGTTCTACCAATCCATCTCGCCTATTTCTTATTGACTTCCATAGAGTCTTCTGTTCTTCTATTCTTTCTAATATCTTTTCATTTCTAACCTTTTCTACCCCCGTTATCCTCATCATCCGCCTATAACACCACATTTTGAACGCTTCTAACCTTTTCTTTTCCGCCGCGCCTACTGTCCATGTTTCGCACCCGTACAACGCCGTGCTCCAAACATACACCTTTAACAACCTTTTTCGAATTTCTAAATTAACCGTTCGCGAGCATAGAAGTGACTTCTTTTTATTAAAGGCGACACGACCCTGCGCTATCCTCTGCTTTATATCCCTACTACTCCTTCCATCCTCACTTATCTGACTTCCTAGGTATCTAAAATCAGCCACTTCTTCTAATTTTTCGTCTCCTATCTTTATATTCGCTCTTTCCCTACTTTTTCTTCCCTTGCATATCAGTATTTTAGTTTTACTTTTATTTATTTTCATACAGTACTGATCTGTCAGTACCGCTTGCATTTTATTTAAAGCTATCTCTAGGTCCTCCTTGCTAGATGCTAATACTGCTATATCATCTGCAAATCTAAGCATACTAATCTTTTGTCCTTGCAAATCTATCTCTACAGTTGTACTGCCTTTAATGATGTTGATCGCGTCTTCGATGTACAGATTAAAAAGTAGCGGTGACTGTGTGCACCCCTGTCTGACTCCCTTCCTAATATTTGCTTCTCTACGTTGCAGCCCCAGCTCTATAACTGCCTGTTGCTCTTTATACAAACTAAGTACCACTCTTCTATCATCATAACTCATCCCTACATTTTTAAGTATATTTAACATCTTGTCCCATTTAACATTGTCAAAAGCTTTCTCTAAATCTACAAATTCTATGTACGCACCCTTTTTCTATCGTTTTCTCTATTGTTACCCGTAAAGCTAGAATGGCATCCCGCGTTCCTCTATTTCTTCTAAACCCAAATTGATCTTCCCCTAATAGTTCTTCCGCCATTTTTTCCATCCTCTGTACAATTCTAGTTAATATTTTTGACGCATGGAAAGTTAAGCTAAATACAGCACAGTACATTACAATTTGTATTCTTAATAATAAAAGATTCTTCCTTTTCAGGCTACTTACCAATATCCGATCAGTGGTGGCTCAGGTAGATGTTTACTCATTTAGTGTTCGAAAATTAGTTTAATCTTTTGATCGTTCAAACTTGTTAGTAGCCTTCTCATTGACCTAAATCATTTTTCAACGGAAAGCGCATCGATCGAGAAATGATGAGTTAATGAATGCATCATACTGACCCGTCTAAATTTGCGGTTTTATGATGGCATAAGGAGATATCTAGCGATTCTCAGAGCTTGTGAAAGATATACAGAATTCCTCGACTAGAGACCCTGAAAATTCTTATGGTCCTATATAGACCCCCGGAAAAAGACGATTTCTTGAACTTCACAGTAATCGATATCCGCAGAAAATTGCAAAGCTCGGCAATATTATCAGAATCTTTTCGAAAAATGTACTTTTTTCTATGAACTAAGTTACGATTCTGGGTGGTGTTGCCCCGTCCCTTGCTTAGCTTCAAACGTTTCACCATTTTTAACAAATGACGCCTTCAGCACAACACAACTTGACTCGTGCTAAAGCGATGCAGTATCAGGTATATTATAATAAAATTGTGTTATTTTTTATAAGTCAATTTGGAGATTCTGAATATCATATCAAAACCAAAACTTACGTATTATCGCTCAAGCTTAGGTACGATTAGTTGAAGAGCGAAAGAAAATTTTTAGATTTATTTTAGTTAGTATATTGAAAGTGACGATTAATTTAATTATTCGAAAAAGGTTGTTAAACGTGTATGTTTGGAGCGCGGCGATGTACGGGTGCGAAACATGGATAGCGGGCGCGGCGGAAAAGAAAAGCGTTCGAAATGTGGTGTTACAGGCGAATGACGAGGATGCCGTGGATAGAGAAGCTTAGAAATGAAGAGATATTAGAAAGAATAGGAGAGCAGAGGACTCTATGGAAGTCAATATGAAATAGACGAGATAGGTTAATAGGACACCTTCTCAGGCATGAACTGATGATTGAAAGTGTCTTTTAGAAACCTATTCTAAATATCTTATTTATAATAAATAACTACCTAGTGTGGTAGCTTGATATTTTGGAGCACATCGTTTCAGTCTAACTCCGAGTTGGTCCTCCTTGATCTATCTTTTTTGTAATTCGTCATTCTCTCCCGTAACACCACCCACCCAATACCACAATTTCTAAAAGGGGATCATCCTCCCTACTCTCCCTTGAAAGGAGTGTCCTCTCATCAATACTAGTAGCTAGTGGGAATGAATAATATAAAATAAAACTTAGTTTAAGGTACTTACTTTTCTAGCTCCTAGAATCCCTATTATCTTCAATGGATAAAGTGATTCTTGACTTGGAGCTAAGGACGAGATCTCAACGTCATCCAGAATATAAATTTTACAGTAATAACATGTGAGTTGGAGCAAAGAGAGCCTCGGACAGGGATGAAATATTATTATATTATAATACATTATAACGAAAAGAATTTTAAACAAAAGTTGTCTAAGCACTCTAATTGAAAATATGTTGGTGACCTCAAACATAACCTTGAATTTTAAAGATGAAGTCTAAGTATGTACAATCGGAACTCTAAACGCTGATTTGCTTTTAATTTTTGATATTTTGAAAAGCTATTTTCTGTAATAATTTCTGCCTACCTCATCCTTCTCTGTCACTCCTTTTGCTCTAACTGTGTCCTCCCTTAGGAAATTTGATTATATACTTGTACCAGACTCAACATTTTTGTAATCTTTTCAGAACTATCGGATGCTGGAACTGCACATCTTACTGCAGGGAAATACGAAATAAGGACATTGGAATCCGTTAATCGATCGATTTAATATGCTTTATTAAAAAAAAAAACTAAAACTTTCGATTATTTATACAAGTACGTTTAAAATATAAATACTAAAAATAATCTATGTTACAAATTACAATTAAATTTCTATTTACAAAAAAACCTATCTAAATACACAGCTCGTACACAATAAATAAAAAATATAAATACACGTCGCATGTCTTTTCATTCGATACATGTTATGTAGGTATCTATACGTTTCGTGAGATACATCGCTGATACGGTTATTTACAACAATCAGATAAATAAATTAAATTACACGCAAGTTTTTCCATCGTTCCGTTATTAATGTCATAATTATGAAACATTTATTTACATTTAACGAGTCGATATCATCATAAATAGCTACTCTCTGCTGTCCAATCAGTCTTTTCATAAATACTATTTTCCTATATACATCAGCGAGAATTTCGCATTAATATTTTATTATCGATAATAAATAATACTGATCATTTGTTTCGTAGCAGACGCTCTACATGTACAGTCAATACACATTTTATTATGTTTTTGTCGTTTTGCAATGAATTAGATCAACAAGACAGATCTCGTGCACTAAAATTAATGTACAACAACTTGAAATAATAAATAGTAAGAAAAAAAAAATAATGTAATAATACTGATAGTGTCGAATATTTCTATAAAAAGTAACAAAGCAAAATATGAATTACGAAATTATGTAGATAGTACCTAGATACTAGAAGAGTCATGAAATAATAAATAATAAATTATAAAAATTACCTTTTGTAGGCTAAAAAACCTTCCATCATGAAATACTTCCATTGGTCCTTTGGGCAGATGCTCGCGTTCCTAACATTTACTTTCTTTTTCCTATAGAATACCTGCGTAATACCTACTAAGTCTTATGGATAATGGCAATCACAACAAATTAATATTTAACGAATAAGTAGCATAGGTTTACAAACACCTATGCACAGTTTTTTTTGTTCTGCAAAGGTCACACTTGACCTCGCAACACCAATGGAAAGTACAAAGACACCTTTCGACAGCTTCAATCACTTCCGTGCGATAACCCCTCCCACAACACATCAAGTCACACCCGTCCACACCTATGGAGGTATCGTTACAATGACGTCCATGGGTACCCGGGATACCCAGCTTGGTATTCCTCTCACAAAAACCGGGCGAAGGTTCGAAATAAACCAAATCTTTCGAACCCGGAGGTTTGTGATCGGGATTGTAAGGTTTTAGCTGGAACCCGTGTTTGTTTCGCCTTGGTTTTCGTTCCCTTTTACTATGTATGCTGTTGGAACTCAATAGGTCGTTGCTGGACGGCTCTTTTCTCCTGTTATTGTGAGCATGATTTGTACGGGAATTGCCTGCATTGCTCGCCATTACTCTAGAAGCTCCGTCGAATCTGTCCTTCAAGTTGTCACCGATGATACGGAACGATGGGAGACGCATCCAGCAGGTCTTAACGGTACATGATCCTGACATGCCGTGGCACTTGCATTCTTGGCGCATTTGCGATTGAACGTGCTAAAAAAGAAGAAAATAAATACATTATTTATAACTACACCTTTATCGAATCTTTTGGCACTTTCTATGCATCTAATTGGAAACAATCCCACGATCTCCACCATCTCATTCAATCATTTATTTCTATCTATTAATGCCCAGAACTAAAGTTCTTTGTCGGTGCTCTGCCGAAACTATTAGACGTAAATCGCGATTTCGATCTGTTTAGATCCCATCAGTACGCAATAGAACACACATCAGTTTTTCTGCTGGTTTTAAACAGCGTTTACCAAATACAAAAAACGTTTAATATTAAGTATTATTAAGCATTAACAAACTCAGTAGTAGCAGATATATACAGAGACGTTTACCATGGTAAACGGTATCATTGTATATTTTTTGTAAATGTAAATTCTATTGTTTTGTTTAAGGTAGTTCATGGTTTGAAGGCGGACGAATAGTCGTAATTAATTTTTCAAACCTTGTAAAAAAGCAAACTGAACCGTAAATACATAACAAGAAAGTGGCGCTGTTCCTGAAATGAGTAGAATACCCAATGAAACTAAGTACTACAAAATTTGTACTTAATACGCCATTACATATTCATCATCATCATCATCATAAAGTCGTCAGTCCTAGGACTGGTTGGACACGCACCTCCACTCCTTCGGACGGAGTCTTCAGCAATGAGCTTGACCTTTCGCATAAAAAGTCCGTTCCTGAATTTGTTCCTAAGATCATCACAATTGACTAAGCCATGAAGGATTTAGAAAAGTGTAAATTGCCATAGTAATCCTTAATTATTTGGGAACAGTAACCTAATTTAGGTTTATCTCTAATCCTCATAACTCCTGTTTCTGCCTTTAATGTGTCTCTCACTAGATCTTCAAACCTGAGTAGGTGTCCTACCAACCCATCTCACCTATTTCGTATTGACTTCCATAAAGTCCTCTATTCTCCCGTTCTTTCTAATATTTCTTCATTTCTAACCTTCTCTATTCACGATATCCTCATCATTCGCCTCTAACACCACATTTCGAACGCTTCTAACCTTTTCTTTTCTGCCGCGTCCATCGTCCATGTTTCTCTCTAAACATACACCTTCAAATTTTTTTTCGAATTTCTAAATTAATCGTTCGCGAGCATAGAAGTGACTTCTTTTTACTGAAGGTGACTCGACCCTGCGCTATCCTCTGCTTTATATCCCTACTACTCCTTCCGTCCTGACTTATCTGACTTCCTAGATGTCTAAAATCAGCCACTTTTTCGTCTTTTCCCTACTTTTTCTTCCCTTAAAAGCTAGTATTTTTGTTTTACTTTTATTTATTTTCATACAATACGGTTTTGTCAATACAGCTTCCGTTTACATATTTGTTAATAATAAATAAACCTTCAGTCCTGACGACGAGGCATGGATTACACCTACAGATTCAGACCAAGGCTTAGCATTCGAGAGGACACTGGTTCGATCCCGGATGCGTCTGATTTGTCCCAAAATTACTTAAAGAAATGTTGGGACAGTTTCCTTCTTTGAGGAATCATGAGAATGAGGGCTTTTCGCGCTACCTTCCGGCATAATCAGCACAATAGAGATCTCAGTATACCTAGGCTGTATTCCGTCAGTATGCATGCGACATGAGTGTATGTCAATACATGAGGAGTACATACAAAATACATGTATTCATAAGCGTTATTTATTATTTACGATTCTTATTAGCGATAGTACCGAAGAGCCGATTCTGATTAGTAAACCAGGCACGTGTTTGAAGGCTAATGCATCGCTTAATATAACCATTAATAAAAGATGCGACCAGTATTTAGTCTATTAGTAGAACACGTCTGGTTTACAAATCGCAATTGCTGCCTCATTTCTCAACCTGACAGCCGCGTCTCACGGTGCTATGTTTATGTTGGTACTACTGATTGCTCCAATCTGGAACTACTCCGTTCCTCTTTCCGTCGTAGCGATACCACTAATGACTCAGATACCGGTCCTCCTTTATCCGCTTCAATTAATTTATTCGATAGAGAAGCAAGCGGGTAAGAATGCCAATTTATAAATGCTACAGCTACTTTGAATCCTACTGCAACTTTACTTATGTATGCCTGTTGACGTAAAAATATTAATAAACCGTCCGGTTGCCCACCGTAACGGATTATATCTTCTATAAAAACTCGTTCCGGAATTTCTTCTATAATACCAGACGCATTTTATTTATTTTTTTTTTCTATTTATTTCGTTTCGTCCCTTTTCTCGTTCCGTTCCCAACTAATTACCAAATAATAATACACGTTACATAGCACAGCTCCACGTTTTTCTTTTTAATTAGAGGCTGCACTATCCCATTTGAAAAGGAAAACGAATCAATAATCTAGAAGAATACAATCCTAAAATAAACTCGAAACGAATCGATTTCACTCTTTCCGTTTGATATCAATAAATTAATCAGAACTATTGGTATACCATCACGAATACCAAAATTAATGTTCAAAATTCAAAAACCGTTTGAAAATACCTAAATAATCTACTTTAAGGCATACATTATGACATGATCTATTACTGTACTAGAAGCATTAGATATTAATAGGTAAGACATCAGGCTGTATGTATGCATTCCAAGCAGGTATTTATTTGATGCAGATAATCGTATCGGACATGTCCGATAAGCCTGCGGAAAAGCGCAAAAATCTTAAAAAAAAATTTTTCAATTCAAAGTATTCTTTAAATTAGAAAACAATTTTTGAAAATTTTCGTCATACAACGTCTGTTGCATATGAAATAAATAATGTAGGTAAATTATTTTTTAATTTTTTTAGGAAAATGAAAACCTACTTTTAAAATTTCTCTTTACTTTAATTTATTAAATTCATTTGCATACAAAATATTGTAACTGTGATACCCTTGTATCATACGTACCTCCTGACGTGGGTAGATGAAACTGAAACTAAAATGAAATGGCTTGATCGTTTCTGTATGGATGTGGTATCGAAAGATATTTTGAGTAAAATTATAACAACATTAAAGTTTCAACGCCGAGAGTCCCCGCTAAGCAAAATCGATTCTTATTAAAATATATGTACCTTTTTGGTTACAGGTACGTATGTACATAGGTATATTTATGTGTATATATGTATATGTATTGTAGGTCCGTGTATATGTATTCTCCATTCGCATTTTAACGCCTAAAGCAAATGTAGCTTTATTAGTAACGGACAGCCGTATAGAGGCCGCGGCAAGTAACAAGTTAATATGCATTTTAATGTGAGTGAACGCGACCACCCGGTAGTAAGAGCCAGCTTCCACCTAAATCAAACCTTTTTCTCACACTGTGCACTTCATTAAGATGTTTTCCTTTTAATTAACGCAATTTAGTTTCACTCCGAACCGATACTTACATCAATTCGAATAAAGACACGGCAGAATTGCTGAAGCCATAGCCGGCGCCTTTTAACTCGGTAACGCGGGTACATATATAATAATCTTCTATGTAAGTATGGATACTGAACAACGTTCAGTGTATGCAAATATATCATGGTTTGCATTAATGTCCATCGGATTATGTTAAATGTCCACTATATAACTACTAATGCAAGTGCTTACATCTAAACACGTACAACTAATACATAAAATCGGGTTTTATTTACCAACGTTTAGCTTTAACGTTTGTAGATTATTAGTTTTCTTCTTTTGGAACAAACAGAAAATATTGTTGGTGCAGGTATTTAGGTACCAGTACACTAAAATCGTTTGAAATGGTTTGTTGTGTAATATAAAATTTCGTTGATCATTTAATTAGAAATGATTTATAAACTCACAGATCTACAAATAAGATGGTTATTAAGATTGCAGGATCAGGCAAGAGTTTACGTAATGAAATTTGGAGCTTTGAATTGAAATCTGACCGCCAGAACTCTATATATCGTCAGGGCACTGAGATATTTGAACCATAAAAATTAGAAAAAGGCTGCTTCTAGGGATCCCCGAGATAAAAATGTTCAGTCTCTCAGAGTCTCTGTAAGCGAGTCTCGTCTCTCATCGAGTCTCTCTGGTGTCGCTGAGAGAGACTATAAAAAAAAACTGTTTAGCGTCTCTGAACGAGAGACTTGAATGGCTCATAGAGGGATCCTCATTTCGTATCCAGTTTCTGAACGAGAGACTCGGATCTCTGAATTAACAATTTTATCGTTCGAGTCTCTCATACAGAGACTGTGAAAGACTGTGAGAGACGCTGAGAGACTGGAGAGAGACTAACAATTTTTGCCTAGGGTCGTATTAATATTGTACAGTTCGTCTTTTAGTTTCCATTTTTTGATCGTCAAAATATGATTAATGTTTCGTTACGATATGAATCTAAATACGTGGTATTTGATTATGATGGTATTCTGCAAACGATGAAGCAAATAACTGCATTTTTATACCGTTTGTTTTCTATCTATTTCTTGTTATCCCACTTTGGTAATTATATAGTTTTGTTAAGTTTTTTTTTTTAACAACTAACCAAAAAAGTCTTGTAGTTAGAGTTACTTCCTGGAAGATTTCACTGGAAATGACGGGAAATTATAATTCGGCGAGTGTCGCATTTCTTAAGTAGGTAAGTACAACTACATGTCCGTATGTAGTGACTATAAATGCACACACAAGCGCTTCTTTACGTGCAATAGCAATGTACAATAAACATGTAATGCAGTATCCCGTGGCGAGCAAATCTCGTCATCGGCACCCCGTCGTGGAAACACCGTATTACACGATAGCGTATGTGTTCTTGATTCAACGAGAAGTGACTCGAAATTAGACACGCTCTGGGTTCCTCTACCACCGACATTTTGTATCTAATGAGCCGTAAAATCGAAAAGTCCAGTATTTTATTTTGTTTGTTAGCTTGACATTTCTTAAATTCCTAAAAGAGTTCCGATTAATGCTGTAGGTATAATCCAAGAACGTCGGACCGTCTCAAAAGCGATGTGCCCCTCGATTTAAATCACAAAGCAAACTGACTTCACGAATGATTCCAAAAATACCTGACAAAAGTCGCTATTACCGATGAAAAATCTGAATAGTTACTTCTGGGATAATTACTCAATTATTGTTATATAGTAGTTTTACATGTTTTGCATTACGTTTTTCTCTTTTATTTTAATACTAATTCACCAGATTCATACTTCATGTAAACAGGATAATTACTTCAAGATTTTCATTAACAAATTGGTTTACCATAACAATAATTGTTTCATTAAAATTATCACGTTATTACAGTTAATGCAACCAAGTATACACTACAATGTAAACATTTAGACCTACCCAAGCAAACTGACTTCACGAATGATTCTAAAAGTATCTGACAAAAGTCGCTGCTACCGATGAAAAATCTAAATAGTTACCTATCCCTATAAACACTTTTTTGGTTAGCTATTTCTAGAGTAATTACTCAATTATTGTTAGATATTACTTTTATATGCTGTGTATTACATTTTTTTCTTTTATTTAAAAACTAATTCGCCTGATTCATACTTCATGTAAACAGGATAATTATTTCAAGATTTTCATTAACAAATTCGTTTACCATAACAATAATTGTTTCATTAAAAATATAACGTTATTAGAGTTTATGCAACCAAACATACACTATAATGTAGACATTTAAACCCTATCTTGAATAAGTCAAAATTGGGAATCTTCAATTAGGATTGTGATTAACCGACAACATCCTTGATATCAAAAGTAGGCCTACGCAACCCTTTTAAACGTTTTAATATTAGTTAAACTCTACTTCCAGCTGTCGTGTTTCTATATGTATATTATAATAGCAAAATGAAAACGGTTGAAGATTTTCAAGTGTATATTATAATAGCAAGATGAAAACGATTGAAGATTTTCAAGCCGCTTCTGAGAGCTTACCATTCTTCCTGCTTCGTTGTTGTGAAGATTCATTTTTTCTCGCAGACTTCGACCACGTTCGCCTGTATCGACGAATTCTCTGGCAAACTCCACGCCAAATCCAATGTTATCCGAACAACCTCCCCATTCCCATTCGCGTACTCCTGGAACGGATCCTCGACTACTAGAATACATTCTAGGTCGACTCTTGTGGTGGCTGTACTCGCAGTTACAGGTGTCTATTGAACCTTCACTGCAAGCACGAGCTATCGCGTGTGTGACTGCCGCACTTGTTATCGCGTAAATGAAGGCCGTCTCACGACACCCTGGAACAATAAGAAAACGTGTTCACTAATTTACACGAATTATAATAGGTAGAAACAGTTGCTAGATCCACTGTTAACTGAGTTAATTTAATTCATGTTGACAAAACAGTACTGTATGAAAATAAATAAAAATAAAACAAAAATACTGGTATACAAGGGAAGAAAAAGTAGGGAAAGAGCTAATATAAAGATAGAAGACGAAAAATTAGAAGAAGTGGCTGATTAGATACCTAGGAAGTCGGGTAAGTCAGGACGGAAGAAGTAGTTGGGATATAAAGTAGAGGATAGCGCAGGGTCGTGTCGCCTTTAATAAAAAGAAGTCACTTCTATGCTCGCGAACGGTTAATTTAGAAATTCGAAAAAGGTTGTTAAACGTGTATTTTTTGGAGCACGACGTTGTACGGGTGCGAAACATGGACAGTAGGTGCGGCGGAAAAGAAAAGGTTAGAAGCGTTCGAAATGTGGTGTTATAGGCGGATGATGAGGATAACGTGGGTAGAAAAGGTTAGAAATGAAGAGGTATTGGAAAGAATAGGAGAACAGAGGACTCTATGGAAGTCAATAAAAAATAGGCGAGATAGGTTGGTAGGACACCTTCTCAGATATGAAGGTCTAGTCAGAGACATATTAGAGGCAGAAACAGGAGTTAGGAGGAGAAGAGGTAGACCTAGATTAGATTACTGTTCGCAAATAGTTAAGGATGTGGGTTGTTCTAGTTTTAGGGAAAAGCGAAGATTAGCTCAGGATAGGAAGGAGTGGAGGTGCGTGTCCAACCAGTCTTAGGACTCGCGACCTTATGATGATGATGATGATGATACAAACAATTCATAACTCAAGCCTTAAAATCAACATTAACAGTGGAATTTTATCAGTGACTCAGGAAAAAGTTAATTTGGACTTTGTCTATACAAAAGACTCTCAGCCCGTCACCAGTGTGTTAGACACCTAAATGGGAAAAGGTTTTTAAACTTATAGCTTCCCTTTTTTGCATGGGGTAATGCGAAGTGTGGTGATTTTTATCAAATGAAATGTCTTTATACCTTTATATAGAAATGGAAAAACTAACTTTTATTTGTGTATTCTACTTCAGTTAGTAATTCAACCTGTAAATTTGTTGCAAAGTGTTGTCAATACATCTCAATTTCTTTATGTCACTTGAATAATTAGAAGACCCTAAGTAGAATACTATGGTCGATGATTATTATTAATGAACACTAAATGTTTTAATGTTAAAATAGTAACCTATCGACAAGTTTGTTGATTAATAACACTTTGATATGACATAATGTGTAGGTATGCCGTACGTACCTATATGATATTTTACAGGATATTTACATTCGATAAATGTTCCTGGCAATTTCTTTTATATCATCGCGCATTTCTTTTGAAAACTATTTACAGTTTTTAGGTACATCTACCTACCGCAAAAGTCATAAAAAAAATATGGAAAATCGCCTCATTACCGATAAGTTATTGAAAAGTATGCATATGAAACGGTGATTTTAGTTCTTTTAATTATTAAAAATTTGAATAAAAGCATAATAAACGCCCAACGTACATATTATTTTCGTTGATAATAATGCGTGAAGAGACTGCAAAGCTGAACATAATTTTGGCCTTGTGGTGACAGTGTAGTTGTTGTTGTTGTTGTTGTTGAAAGAGTTTACAAGGCGCACGCGATTCGACATAATAAAGCAGTAAAAAGTGGTGAATGAAGAAAAGAAAGAGAGAGTCGGGAAGTTTATGGGATATAAATCGCGTCGATGCCATCGCACGAACGAACGAGTTGATTGATAAAAATGGCCCACGGCTTCGATCTCAATCTCGGAGTGATAAACTACAGTGTTTGTAGCAATAGCAGACCGTACAAACGTTAAAGAGATATAAATCAAGGAGGCCAGCAGGGAGCTCCATGATGACGTAATTACCGAATCTCTCCGCAGGGAGCCACAGATTATCGAAATAACAATATTTCATATCCAGAAACCGGACTCACACAGTGGTTTTGTAAGATTGCAGACGACTGGTAAAGATCGCCCACAGATGAACGAATTTTGACCTAATCATGCATAAAACTTGCTTTGTCCAAATTCCACGCAGTCAGTGCCCCAGACAAAGACCTTCTTGTTTTAACAACAACCACTTTATCTACTGAATATCTATGTTAAGAGCAATACAAGAATAAAAGGAACTTCCCGTATCGCCGATTAAAATGCAAAGTATAAATTGACTTGGCACCCATGAGATCGGATATTTTCATTATTAACGTACAATAATTGCAAGCATCATATTGAGAAATCCTTTCAGTTATTTGAATACTTAATTTAAAAAAAAACACGCGAACCATACCTACATATGCAAACTGAAACTAAAAAGCAGAAAATAATATTTTAATTACTTCCAAGCAAAGTGAATTACAGAACAATCGACAAAATCACTGATACTTGTATATACATTGACAATTTATAATCAATTACTTTTGGAGTCGGTACCAGCTAAAGGAGACAGTTTAATCTTGTCTTTGCAACAAACTTTTCGTCGAATTTCTTTTATCTAATCTCTAGTTTTGCATTCACATATTAATTGATTACAGTAAACACTCTTTCGTGGTCCATCTGGAGCATTATTTTCAGTAGCTGTACCTGATAAAACGAAGCGGGAATTTTAAAAATGTTTACTAAACCTACAACCCTTTCATTCTTGACGTACTAAATAATATTTCAATATTTGCAGGTTTGCAGCACTTATAGAGAAGCCGACCCTGAATCAACTTTATCTATCAACCCTTCCACTGCTTCCCCCAAACTGCCGAAACCAATGACTCTAAGTTTTATAATCCTCTAATTTCCTGCGAGGAAGACGATTTCTTTGGAATATTTTGCCGCATTATTTATTATGTATTATAATACAGTTCTATCGTTAATTAAAATTTTTGTTTGCAAGTAATCGTTTGGGATTAGGCAACAGTCCTTAATTAACTAGAGCACTTTCTAAACAAAGTAATAAAACTTGAGAGCNAAAATTAACTTCAATTCAATTTTTAGTCTGTATATATTTTTTGTTTTTGTTGTTTTTTTCAAAAAGCACTGGATCAATTTCGATAAAATCATATGGAACTACCTCTGAAGTATGACCTACCAAACAAAATAATTATCATCAAAATCAATTCATAATGGGAGGAGTAATCGCGTAAAAAACATACAACCGAATTGAGAACCTTTTTTGAAGTCGGTTAATACGGTGTATTTTGTAACAATTGTGGCTAATGTTTAAGGACACAATAGGTTTGTAACCCTTTTCAACCTATTACAAACTAAAAAGATCTTGACATAATCAATTCAAAATTGTAACATGCCTGGCTTCATCATCATCATTGCTATTATCATAAGGTCGTCAGTCTTAAGACTGATTGGATAGGTATCTCCAGTTATTTTCTATTCTTAGCTTATCTTTGTACTTCCTTAAAACTAGAACATCCTACATCCTTAACTATTTATGAACATAATCTAATCTGAGTGTACCTCTACTCCTCTTAACTCCTGTTTTTGCTTCTGATATGTATAAAACCTAAAAAATTAATTATCAACTTCCAACACCCTGTTAGTGATTAGATACAATATAATTCTGACTTTTCGGCAATAATAGCTTTACACAAGTTTTTTTTTTGTTAGATTACTTAGACAAAGCCGTGACAGTGGTATTTCGCTGAAAATTTTTATAATTTCTTCCGCTTCACCCTTCAGCTTTACACTACAATGCAATTTCTGCATTGCTTTAAACCATGAAGGGGTCACAGGGTACCATATTGATTTCTGAACAAATTAAATCTATTTATCTATCTAATTATTAATTAAAATACCTATCCATTGCTCTACAACCATTTGTTTATAGGAATTTATTACAAATTATACGTAGGTACTAACAACAAAAATGTACTTTCTGTTGAAAACAATTATCATACGTATGTGAAACGAAATTCCTATTACAAATCTGTCATAATTGAAAAATAATTCATCCTTTACGTTTACGTAACTGCTTATAATAGTCGTTTAATTTCACCAATTACACGTATGTGATTATAATTACATTTACCTTGAAAACAGAAAACAGAATTGTCTCGCCAAACACTGAAATTATTTCATTCGTGACTTTTGCGATTTTTTAAAACAAACATAAGTACATATCCATGACAAGCAGAATTAATAACAAAATTGTATAGATACTCAAACCTAGTAATTACCGAGATTCACAAGTTTTTGTTGTTCTGCAACAATGTAAACAAACGAACAGCCAGACACTATTTATTATCAATTATTTTATGAATTTAATAAAATTTTGGAGAATAAACAACAATTACGTACTTGCAACTAAAAAATATGAGATCGTTAGTTTTAGAAAGAAGAATACAACTCATATATATTTTAAGTGAAAAAATAATCACGCAATCTATTAGTTTCAGGACAAACACTAATAATAAGTTTACATAACGTTAAAATGACAGGTCACATGAAGTCATCAATATAATTATAAAGTAACACAAAAGAATTTCTTTGTCACATTATATCACAGACCCTTTTTCATCTAATTTTAATTTATTGATGTTAAAGTTAGTTTTTATTTTCCCATTTATAAATTTATATAATACACATACAGTATTACAAGTAGCCAATGATACTTCTTGTAATATTCGAGAACCTTTTCTAATAACCCTTAATAAGCATCTTCGTCCTGCGTCTACACGATATCTGTAGATGTATGTTTTACATCTTCTATTAGTGGTCGATTATAATAGCTGTTCTCAAATTTCAAAAAAATTAAAGAATTTCGTAGACTAAAGAATCGACACAACAAAAAGGGTAAGCCGCCCCTTCGCTTTGTCCTTTTGAATATGAAAACCGGAAAGGTGTCTAAGGTAGCAATTTACCACAGGGGGCTCTTAGGAATGCCTCTATAGAAATCTTTAGTTAAAAATATCATTTACTCAAAGAATAATAAACTAC